GCTGTATAGTAGTAAATGATACCATCGATGGATTAGACGACAAAAATTTTATCAATTTTTAATTAAATTTCAAATATGGCTGAAAATGGCTTATTTGGCTGTTTTGGGTTAAGATTTTTTGAAATCTCGATGTGATAGAGCAATTCTGCAGCCGGATTCGAATTCAGCGCGAAAAATTACGTAAGAAAACATAGTTAAATCCCAATCAACAAAACCATGCAGGCCTGTGTAATTAATGTTTCTAATAGAATTTTGTACTGTATTGACAATTATTGATATTTTTATTTGTTTAGAGTATTAAGTGTCATAGCGACAAGAAAATAGGTATAATTCTATACTTTTCGATTTAAATATAGATATAATACGTTTTAAATTTATAAATACCCCGTGGTTCGATAAAAACAAAACAATTCTTTGTCTGAAAGGCATATACCACGAACACCAGATAGCAGTGGCGATTATTTCAAATCCTTTATTAAACACATGGAATCAAAAATAAACGTTTCGGTCCCAATCGGACCATCTTCAGTATTAACAGTACTATTATAATTAATTAGAATGATCTTATCATACGCAACATAATTATACAATTTAGTTAAGCCGTCATTCTTACTTAAAAATAACTTCTAGTCATATAATTTTTAGCATCTGTCATTACATAAAAAAATTTGTTTTTCTCTCTTTTCTCCTAAAAACGGAAGTCATGAATTTTTTTTCCAGCATAAGTGACGGAAAAAAAAATTCATGACTTCCGTTTTTAGGAGAAAAGAGAGAAAAACAAATTTTTTTATGTAATGACAGATGCTAAAAATTATATGACTAGAAGTTATTTTTAAGTAAGATTGACGGCTTAACTAAATTGTATAATTATGTTGCGTATGATAAGATCATTCTAATTAATTATAATAGTACTGTTAATACTGAAGATGGTCCGATTGGGACCGAAACGTTTATTTTTGATTCCATGTGTTTAATAAAGGATTTGAAATAATCGCCACTGCTATCTGGTGTTCGTGGTATATGCCTTTCAGACAAAGAATTGTTTTGTTTATAATACGTTTCTTCAATAAAATTAATCGTTTTGTCCCCAGTAGAGCATATGCTAAATTTAGAATTTTAAAGTAAAATATTCCAGCAAACACACGCATCGACGGTATAATTGTTAGTTATAATTTTTCCCTCTCTCTCTCTCTCTCTCTCTCGACAATACCTAATTATTATAATTATTATAATTATTATAATTGTTATAACGTTATATAATTATCTATTATATTCTATTCGTATTGATTGTGAGTATTATGTGTTATATTATAATTATAGATATAATTATATCGTTGAATGGGCAATTATAACTAACTGTTACATTGTTATGTTTATTAGTTGCTGTTTGATGGGATTACTATTGATTACATTTTCTATAAATATTAGCATCTTTACAGTCTTCTATAAATGCAGGTTGTAAAAGGATCACTCTCGTATCAAAGTAACAAATATCTTGAGGTATATTTTAACAAGGATTGGCAAACATTACTTTACAGTTACTTTGTCGTTACTTTCTACAGTAAACAATTTGACGATGTTGCAATTTTTTATGACGGTAACGCAAGCTAACTAAACGCTAAGGTTGTGCTAAGGTTAGAAAAATCACTTTAAAAAGTAATTTGTCATCATTACGCGTTACTTATTTAAAAAAGTAATAAGTAACGAGTAACGCGTAACGTTACTCGTTACAAGTAACGCGAGTAAAAAAGTAACACGTTACAAATTAATGGAAAAAGGAGTTTTTTTTCAATAATAAATGACTTTTTCAACCCACACAAGTAACGATTGAATTTTCTAACTCTGATGTTACCATTACCATCATAAAAAATTCACAATGTCATTATCAAATTGTTATTATAACAAGGTAACGATCAACAAAGTAACGGCGTTACAAGTAACGCGTTACTGCCAACCCTGATTTTAATACTTCTCTGTAAAATTTGGTAAAAAGATCTTTTAACTATTGCTATTATAGTCTGATGATAATAAAAGTTATAAATAGGAATTTGCTAAAACTATAACTTCCTGGGAATATTCTAGACAGACTTATCAAAAAGAAAAAAAACAGCTTTTAATACTTGCATTATTGCGATACAAATTGTTACATATAGTTGCAATAAAAATAAACGTAAAAAGTCCTTAAACATTTACAAAAAGTCAAAACGGTTTTATAAATCGCTTGTCATTTAATATGTATAAAATAACAAACAAATATTTTTCCTGTGTTAAATAATTTGGGAATAAAAAGATTAAACATATCAGTGATGATAAACGTTACAAGCAAATAATATATGTTTAATACGCTTGGCTCGATTAATTTAAAAAAATTAAATGACGTACCAACCGCATCGACACCGATCATTCGCAACATCTTCAACTCTGCTACTGTCTCGAAATTAGGTCCACCCAAACACGTATAAACCCCTTTATGTACAATATCGCCAATACCCATCTCTTCAGCTACTTGTCTACCGATCTCCATCAGCGTGGCGTTATAGGCTTTATTCATAGGCGGAAATCGAGGCCCAAACCTGAGAAATGAAGAAACAAATGTACTAAAAACAAAAGGCTTAAATTAATAAATAATAAGTAATAATTGAATAAAGTAAAATTCTTGATTTTTATACAACAAATAAATATTTCAGATATTTATTTTATTTACTTTTCTTTCTCAAAAAAGAAAAAGTAATACATTTTCCTGATTTGTTGTAGGTAAAAATATTATGTTAACTTAAGTATACCGTATACGTATATTAGCAAAGAAATTCGCATAGAGTACGAATCATACCTATCATCATTTGGTCCTTGAAGAGGATTGTTGCCGGCAAAACCCATCATATTCACATGATCCTTCACTATCATGATATCACCTACTTTGTAGGTGGGATTTAGACCGCCGGCCGCGTTCGTAGCAATTAAATGTGTCACACCTACCAGCTTCATCACTCTTACTGGCATGGCACACTACAAATAACCGCCTTTATTATACATCTCAATAAACATGTTTTACATTTGTTTTATCTATCTATATGTAGTAGTGTCTCGAGTGTCAAATCAGTCACCGCGATTAGACTCCCGAGACCGGACCGTGTATTGCAATTACTGAAGCCAATTATACCTTCCAAAGTGGATAACCTTCGTAATAATGAAATCTGCCTTGCATGCACATGACTGGTACACCTTGAAGATAACCAAAGACCATCTGACCAGTATGTCCTTTTACCGTAGATATCGGAAAATGTGGGATTTCTTCATAGGGGAAGCATTGCTTGTCCACGAGGGATTCCGCGATCGAACCTGGACACAACTCGTTTTGCTCATATGATCCTGTTTAGGAATAAACAAAGCTATGATAGGATAAACCGTCACCCGGAATTCCCGCAAAGCTGTTTAGCATTGTTTGAAGCAACATACACTCACATAAACTGTTAATCCCATCTTAATTTTATCTTCAATTACATTTTTTCGGGAACCTTATTGTGTAGAAGAATTATTATTAGACGTTATCAGAAAAATTATTTCTGTTCTTTTTAAATTACTCAAAGAATAGAACAAGCGATAAGTAATATTGTGTTATTCTGGTATTCGAAAAATCTATGAAGATTTTCTAATATACCTATCTTGTAAATTATTCTTCTTTTTTTGAGATCACAATTATTCTTGAGAAAAAGTAAATTAATTTGTTTGTGAAAAATTTCAAACACTTTATAATAACTTTATATATATTATGACGCGCGCGAGCAACAGTTTGCATAATCAGATATGGCTATTCGTACTATGATCGTAATTTGCTTTCTTAGCACAATTAAAAGTTATTAAGTCACAAATGTAAACAGGAACAAAATCAGCTGTGATTTTAGCGTGTCGGATAGCATATGCAATTTAATGCTAAGCGATATTTGAACAATATTTTATCGTGAAATCAAGACGCAATAGTAGAAGTATACAATACATACATATAAGCATAAGTGTGGAATCATAATTAGGCAGACATTGTTAATTTTGTAGTAATATTCAAAAGATATTGTGCAAATAATAGCATGCACAAATGTCAAAGACACTACATTTCAAAATCGTTTATTATAATTTTATAACACAAAAGTTTATTTTTTTAACTACAATCTATAAGCACAAATCTTGGATAAATTAGCTTCGCTTAAGCACCGTACATATAATAAAGAAAATTATATATAAATTTAGAATATTGCGTTGTATTCTTGTGATTTTTATAAAAATTCTTGTATAATGTCAAGTTAATTAATTTCTTAGCAAAATTATATATATTATTATATCTTATATCGTTGTTACTATAATACAACGCCAAAACAAGCGTGGGTGACTCTATACCAATTAAATTTAAAATGAATGTCTAAGATTCATAAATTTTCAAATACTTGAATCCACAAAGAATCTTGTTACATGTTGACGTTATCAATTATGCAATTATTGATTTTGCAATGATTAATTAATTGACTTATGTCAGTAATAAATAAATAAATATTATTTAACATTTTATACAATTATAAACAAATCATGTATACATATAAGTAAAGTACAAAAAAAAATGTACACATGTTATACTATTAACTACTAACCCATTCCCGAACCGCATATAATCCCTATTTTCGGTCTAATCTTGATGCGATTCAATAAATATTGTGCTGATTCCTGTAATGTTTCGAAGGTATACCTGAAAGATACAATAATGTATGTTATATTTAATATAACAAATATAACAAATATTTTAATGATTTGCTTTAAAAGCTTCAATTCGAACTTGAAAGCATTGGCATTAAAATTCTCGATCTAATTGTAAGTTTCGAAGTTTCAAACCTTCAAAACTTAAAAATTTCAATACTTCAATCTTATTATATTTCAATCTTACATGCTTCGAACAATCAAAATCATACAATTATTAATTTAATATAGCTAATAGTAACAAATATATTTTCATAAAAAATATACAAATATATTTACGAATATATATTGTATGTTGAATCTTTGTTATTATTTCTATACAATCGACAAAATTATAAATGAAATGTTGAAATGTATACATATAATCGTAATTTCGTTAACTTTCTAATATTCAGTCTTATTCAACTTTTGATCTTTGCTCTTATTATAAATCAATCAGTATAGACAAGCTGGGAGATAATAGAATTGCGAAGTAACTCTCCCGCGATCGGACATGGCCAGTCGCCTTCTTTCTGCACTGATATCACAGAGACATATTAAAGTGTACTACTCAACAGATTGGTACTGATTAAGCAGTTGTCGTACCCGTTTTAGCTTACACGATCGCGCAGCTGTATTAAATCCCATCATAATTGCATGTAATTGCGTTTCTAGGCTTTGACAACAGTAATGACAACTATGGAGACCAACCACCACCATGGATAATTCACACAGTAGTTTTAAAAGTAGTTTTAAAAGTTGAATATTGCAAGTATGATTACTTGATATGACGAGTTTATATACCATAGAGGAAAGTACCTTATTATGAGATAGGCGCTTAATACGAGATAGCGGCGTTTCTGCTAAACTAATAAACGTTATCTATTGGTTCCACCATGAATTTATTGCTTTTGGGTTAAAAACTATTTAGTAGAAAATTCATTATTAGATTATATCTGTAGTGATTGTATAAAAAGATTTTAGAATTTGGATGTCTTCAAGTTTCATTGAAATGAGCCTTTAACTTTGTTTATTATTTAACAAGTAAATATTTGGCAATAAATTCTTCATGTAGTGATAGAGTAAGGTCGTACTAATAAAAAAATATGGGATATGTTGAATTGTTTAATTACAGAAGTTAGATTCGATGATCGTAAAATCGTAAGGCGTGGAAATTGTAATATGAGATACCCAGGGTATTTCTAATATGAAAAAATCTATCCCAAGTAGAAAACAACACACAAACCAAAAATTAGTCAGAAATTGGCCAGGAATTCTAGTTACTAGCTAGTTTCTGGCTAGTTTGACTTGCCAGAAACTGACAAGTTTGGGCGACGCTTGCTTTGCCTGGACAGTAAAACTAATCAATTTCTAACAAGATTTTGATTGATATCTAACCACTTTTTGATTATTTTTTAAAGAATTTCTATCTAGTTTCTTAATTTTTATATTTTGTGAACAGTTTTTAAGCAGTTGATAACCACATTTTCAAAGCAATTTATGGTTAGTTTCTAATTAGTTTTTAACTAGTTTTATAATAAATTTTTAGTCGTTTTCTAACCAATTTATGACTAATTCTAACTAATTTTCTGAGAAAATTCTAAATAGGTTTAACCTATTCTTAACTAGTTCCTAACCAATTCCCAAGCAATTTTTATAGAAATATAATAATAATTAAATTAATATAATTAAATTAAAGTAATATATTAAACTCTTTACGAATTTGATGTGTTATATACAAATTAAAAATTAGATATTACGAGATATTAGGAAATATTTCATGTAATATATAAGTTACGGATATCTTTCTTAACAGTTGCTTTTATATATTTATATTTTCTTTTTCGTTCTCTTGCTGCTGATAAACGTACATCCATTTTACTTAAATTGTTTAAATATTTACAATTTCACGTTTTGCGTTTTAATTATGACTGACAGTCGATGAATCGAGTTTTTCTATTACTATAGTATATTTATTATTTTTTCGTGCATAATTTATGGCCAATAACTGGCCATCAAACAATAGTCAGTATTTTCTGGACAAGTTTTGAATAGTTACTAATTAATCCTACCCAAGAAAAACTATCCAGTTTCTGGTTAGTGACTAGTTTTTCCTTGAAATTTTTCTACACGGGATGCTTCCATGTCCATAGTGAAAATCGTTGCTAAAGTATATTATTGTACAATTATAATTATTATTGTACAAAAAGGACAATAGGAATAAACATCGAGTGCCTGTTTCTGCGATGGTACAATGCATTGCGTTCTCATTTTGTACGCGCACTGGCTGTTTATTTGTATTTTAAAAACATTAAATAAAGTTTTTTAATTGCAATACTGATGTATTTTGCGTTTTACTATCGATTTCTCGGGGCATCTCATATTAGGAGCACAATTTTTTGACTTTGCAATTTGCTCACTTTTTACATTTCTTTAATTTATAAAAAAAATAAAATTTGAATTAAATTTTACATAACATTATCTTAAAGCTTACTAAATTCTCTTCAAAATGACCTATTATTTTTTTAAATTCTGCCCATAGATTTCTAGTATTTAACCAAAATGAACTCGGTATCTCATAATAGGGGCCTTTCCTCTAATATTTTATCATAATTAGTGCAGTAGAAGGCAACGCGCGTTACTGTATTCTCTTAGTTCACACAAACATACACACACACAACACACACACACACACAGCACACACATACACACACACACACACATTAAAGTTGTAATAATACAAATATACAATATTATTAATGAAATCGGTAAAATTTCTTATTGAGTTACACAAGATTTGTAATAAACATTTTATTATCATCAATTTTCAAAGGATAAGTTTTCAAAAATCAGTTATTTTAAATGCGTACCTCGGAAATTAATTAGACTCGAAAATCTTTATACGGAAATATATTATTTTGGCACAAAGCTATAAGCATTTAAACACATATCAAATAAAATTAGTATGCTCAGGGCATACTAATTATGCATACACATCATGAATACTGTTTCATTCACTCTATTAATTTTCATAGATTAATTGATATTGATCCTGATCTCATATCAAGTTTAAATTAAACAAAACTTGTTTCTCAACTTGTTACATAAATACTGCGCAGATTATAACAACTATTTTAAATTAAAATAAAATTTATATCCATTTATATACATTTAAATTCATTTTTACTTATTCATTTATATCATACATATTAATTATTAAAAAGAAGTTTCGAACAGAAAGGCTGATTTTTTTCCGGGTATAATTCTAAATAAAATAACGAGCTTAATAAATTCAGAAACAAGTTCCATCTTGCAATAAGAATCAATAACATTTAATCTATGAAATAATTAAATCAGTTATAACCTATGAATTAATAGAGTGAATGTAACAGTATGCACAAATGTATGCGTAATTACGACCCTGAGCTCACTAATTTTATTTATTTCAATGCAAATGTGCATTTAATCGTGTATAACGTAATGCAATAATATTTCCGTAAATAAAGATTTTCAAGTTTAATTAATTTAAAATAATTTTAGGAAGCTTATGTAAAAATTGAAATGTTTACTACAAATCCTACGTAACTCAATAAAAAATTTTGACCTACTGTTTTATTAGTAACATTGTTAAAATTGAAATTGATATAATTTTAATATAATTGTAAATATATTTGAAAAATACGTTGTGTATGATGTGTATGCGTGTGTGTAAAAGTATATAGGTAGATGAGTATGTAAACTAAGAAAAAATAACGCACAGAGAGAGAGAGAGAGCGCATATCTTAATCGCATACTTCAACCTCAGGATCTGAACAAACAGATAGGATACGCCTGATAAGAATTGCCTATATGATCCTTACTGGCGCCTGAACAGGAAATAATTAGACGCGCCTGACAAGAACTGCCCGATATAACCCAAATCCTTGATAGGACCTGAATAGAGGGCTGAATAGACTCTGTGATAAGAACGTGATCTTTTGGCCTTATCAGATTACTGTCGGAATATTGCGTTACACTCCTGATGTATTAGGATTAAAGATAATCTGCTACATTGAGAGAAAAATGTTTGGTATTTGTAACTATAATTACATATCACTATAATTATGATTATTACTGCTATAATAATAATAACAGTAACTATGTATATAGTTATAGCAACAAATGTATATAGTTAGCAACCTAAAATGACTATAATTATAGTTGTTATAACCATAAAATAGTTGAAATTACCATAAAAATGATTCAAGTGACTATAATTTTATAGTTATATTTTGGGACAACCATAAAAAATATGGTCAAATGGCCGCAAGTTTAAATTATTACATTGAGTTGTTATTATATGTGCACGCTCCTTCACTTTAATTCATTGAAATTTTGCGTGTGCATTTGGGTACACGATAGATGGGTTTTGCGTGAATCTAGGTTACACGATGTAATTAAAATATCAAAAAAGAAAAGACACAGACAAAAAAAGTATATTTATTATAACTATATCTACAAGTAGACATTAATTTATTTACGCTTGTGAAAATATGTCGTTTTATTATAAAACAAGAAATTCGATTTTTAAAAATTGAAGAACATTCATCAACTTCTTCTTTGTGTCTATATCCTTAAACATTATATGGCAAAAAAACTGTACTCTATTTTATTCTTTTTTGCTGCTTCTTTTTGTTGTTAATCTTTCATTTATAACATTATTATTATCACATTTACTATTATTCGTTGGATGTGTAGTATGACTCACTTAGAATCTGTCTCTTTAATCTATTCTATATATGTGTGTGCCAACGTATCTACACTACATTGAACAATACTGTTAAAAATGAAAAAATTGTGTGGTTTGCAGAGGAATATTTTCCGATACCTGACTATAGCAAATGGCTGTTAATGTAATACCGTCAACAGAAAAAAAATAGTCGAATTATAATGTATCATTCGCGATCAATATCTATAATAGTTGTTCAAGGTAAATGGATTGATTATCCGTATCTAATTTTCTCCTTGAACAAGGATATACGTGCAAATATGATGAGAAATAAATCTTATATGATAGATCTCGAAAGCAACTTTTTGATTTGGCTAATGCCTATATATTCTGTTTTTTAATCAGCGTTAAACATCAATCTTTAAAAAACTTTTGTTAGACCTTAGAGTAAGTAAAGAGTATCTACATATCTTATTATAAATTAATACATTCGAATGTCGATCGGTATAGTATGCATATTATGTGTAAAACCCTTACATAATTTTCAATACTTCTATATTTGCATCTTTTTGTTTCTCGAGCAACATTTTATGTTTTTTCTATAACATTGTTTAATCCATAGATAAAATCCTTGAAATGGATTACAACTTTTTCCTGAGCACTACATATATTCACGCGCGTTTTGCATACGCGTATTCTGATGCATGATTTGTAATACCCCTGAAGTCTACGTTATGCATTTAGCTTAAATCTGCTACTATTTGAGCTTGTCGGTAGTTTAGCAGATAGTAACTGCATCGTTTTGTACCAGTTTCAGAGCGAAATTATATCGAATTATAGTGAGCGCGCCCGGAATACTTCGTTCATTCAATTTGCGCTGTGTTTGAGAACTAGAATTGACTCAACTAATTTTGCAATATTGATTTGGTCAGTAGCCAGCAATAGTAAATACATTTTAGCTTACAAATTCTTTCACTACTTCATGCTGAACGGCATTAAAGTAAATGTAAAATTTAAAAAGAAATTTACTTATTGTCTAGTTAATTTCAAGGGAACTCAATAAGGTTTTAATTTGCAAATTAGTTACAAAGATATTCAAGATTAAATGTTATCAAAATTGAAAAGATACTAGAGTATACATATATATATATGTACATTAAAGACTTTTAATATAAAGTTTCTACGAAACATCGCTTGCTATTTTTAAAATACCTTTTTAAGTATCTTGTGAATTTTAATGTCTAAGATATGTATTAAAAATTCCATAAGAAATAATTTAAATGAAACTTACGTATGTTGCGCATCCTTTACGTTTGTTTGCAGCACATCGTTATTAGTCAACCGTTTGACAGCCGGGAAGCTATCATGACCATTGACGGTTTCTGCAAACGGCATTTTCGATCAAATAACAAGCTAATAGAATAAGGATCACTTACAATCAAAAAATGACAATTGATAAAAATAAAGAAACGACAAATAAACAACTAATCGATAAATCCACATATACATATATCGCGCGCTCACGACAAGTGCCTGACGTGACTTTCATGAGTCTATTTTATAGAGGAGTCCAAACGCGAGTTAAAAAAAAATGTGAGCGCGAATAAGTCTACCAATGATCTTGGACACGCACAAGCTCATCGACCAATCGGCGAACGTATCTGTGGCGCACGCGGGTGCTTGCGCAGTACGAGGACAAGAGTAGGGAGGAGTATATGATGATAACCCGTTACAGAACAAGTGGTCCAATTATTGTTATTTGTTTCGACAACGACGTTGACGTCGGCGAAGCGCGAAATCTAGCGCGGCATAATATCAGAATAATATTTCAGTTGACGAATAAATTGATCAACTTTATCTCGATGAATATATAAACGCGCGCTTGGGGGTATTTTTAAAATTATTGTTAAATAATACTTAAAGAAATAAAAACATTTAAAGAGAAATAAACAAGATCCACATCAAAATATCCATTTAGCTAAAAATAATAAATCAATCTATTATAGTATAGTAATATTATACATTATATATATATAATATTAGTATTTATATATGTATAATATCAGTAATTATATATGTATAACGAGTTTATAATTATATATTTTAACATTTAAATTTATTTGCTATTTATAATATTGAAAACGATAATTAATTAATTTTTTAATTGAATAAGAACTTATTATATTTATTAAGTAGATATTGATAGATAAACTCAAAAGTGAATGCAAAATTAAAATAAATATTTTTAATTTAATTACATATATTTTTCAATTTATTTCTAAAGTAACATATTTACTATCTTTGTTTAATTTTTTTTTCAATTTCTATATCATAAAAAATTTTATAAAAATCCTTCTTTATTAAAATCCAAAGCAAATAGAATAAAGAGAAGGTAAAACGTAATTCGTAATTTTCTTTCGACCATCAAACATTTCGACTACTGGTTCTTGCCAGGAAATATTAAGCATGAAGAAGCAGCGAACACAAATAAAAGTACGTAATATTCTCAAAATATTGTTAAATAACTGCTTTCGAACAACGACGCATGTTCCCAAGGATATGTCCGTCTATTCATACCTTTAGCAAATTTATTGTAAATAAAATAAAATAAAATAATGTTGTTGGAGAGCTGCTCCTCCATTTTAACTATAAGGAAATGTATTTACTATACTGAAGATGGCCCGAAAAAGAGTTGAATACATGCTAAATAAATTGATATTACCTATCATAATTTTGAATTATCTATACGCACTGTTTACCGCCCCAGAACTTTCATTAGCCCTTTTTTTTGTATTTTATTGGCAAATAAAATTAAATTTTACATTGTCCAATATTACTATATAATTAACTGCCTTAAATCTAAATCTCTATTTATTAGAGGAAAGATCTAGTTTTCTTTTTATTTTTTTTGTCATATAATCGTAAACAAATTTGAATTTTTTTTATGAGCAAGAATTTTTGACAGATGATTAAAATTTTTCCAATATATGAATGTTAGTTTCTAACAAAATGTACTAATAAAACCAATTAGAAAGGTATATAAAATTGTTAATCAGTTCTTATTTATTATAATTAAATTTTTGAAATTATTTTCCAATTAAATTATTACTGACTTCACCAATACCGTAATCCATATTATATAGTAATCTAAAGTCATCTCGCTCGACCGAAGTCATCAAAATAAATATTTTCTTTGTCACTGTAATAATTCAGAGCAATTTGCAGAATGTCTTCCTACATAAATCAGCTTTGTTGAAGTATTAGAAGCGAAAACTTTGCATATACTTAATTGGAGCATAAAATCATTAAGCGTAACGCTGCATTGTATAGATAGGATAAGAAAGTGACACGACAAAAGTAAATGTAAATTAGGATAATACCTGCTATATATCATAGCATTTTCATATATGCTATGATATATATAGATTGATGCTCTCTTTCAAGAAAGGTCATCAGATTTGATCCTCTTTTGTCGGAGATTTGACCTTTCAAAAAACTGGACAAAAATTAATCGAAAATTTTTTCCGCTTGCCGGACAACTAGAGATTTGGTGAAAAAGCTTTAATCTCTGAGCAAAAACGAAGGCAACTGTGATCTGCGTGTATATTTACACAATGATCATTCATGTAATATTTTCATATGTACTTAAGTAGAACAATAACGTTTATAAAATGTTTAGGAATGGTTATTTTTGCTTTAAAATCATTTAAGGTTATTCAAAAAATGTTTTTTTAGGAAACCGGTTAAATAACCATGTTGTGCAAACGTTTTAAAATCGTTATTTTATAAGATAACATATAAATAAAAAGAATAAGTGAGTGGTAAAGGATCGCATTGGAATACAGGGTGTATAAAAAGTCCTGGACCTCTTAAATATCTTGAAAAGTAATCATTTTTGAGAAAAATGTTTTATACAAAAAAAATGTAGGGTTGAAAATGATCTATTGACTGACCTTATCAATTTGACCTTGGATGGTGCCACCAAGGTCAAGTCAAGGTCAAATAGATTTTTTTAAACAAAACATCCTATTTTTGATTCTAGAATCTAATAGCTGATTCTGATTCTTTTTTTCAATGTCAAGATATTACAAGAAATAGAGTTTGGACCTATGAATTTAACAAAATTAATAATAAAATTGAACATTTACGAATAGCTAAGAATAAAAATGATAAAAATAATATAAATCCAATTAAATTTGAATTACTTTGGTCAGAAGCAACTAATACACTTACAGAATTTAAACCTTCAAAAATACATAAGATTTCCTCGGATAATAGTGATAAAATTAAAGTTCTAGATAATAGTTCGTTAATTTCCAACACGTGTAATACACATACAATTAACAATAACATTAAATATGACAAGCACATAATTAACATTAGTCCAACTGAATTTAACCAAACATTTTCATTATGTAATATTAATGATGATTGGTTGATTAACTTGAGCAATATAAACATTCCAGATAGTGTCAAAATGATCTTACAATTGGGGCAAAAATTCAATTTACCACTGAATAAAAATAATCAAGAAAAGACAATAATCGAATTTGTTAAACAAATAGAATCTAATATTTTTAACATAGACAATTCAAAGAAGAATAAGATTAGGAATGATTGTATTGAAATCTTACATAAGTTACCTCACAAAGTTAAAGAAAAAAAGTTGGACGATGAAATATTATTAGTTGAATGTATGAATGATGTACGAAAGTTTGTGGCAGAACAAAAAGACATTTTAATTACAAAATCTGACAAAGGTAATTCCACAGTAGTTATGAATTTATCAGACTATAAGAATAAAATGATTATGTTATTATCAGATAAAGAAACTTACATTGAAATTAAGAAGGATCCAACTAGTAAACTAATTAGACAAACACATGTATTAGTAAAACGATGGAAGGATAAGGAATATTTAAATAATCAAACCTATAAATTACTAAATGTTACAGATTGTAATTTAGCGAGATGTTACGGTGTGCCCAAAATCCATAAAATTGGCAATCCTTTACGTATCATTGTAAGTTGCATTGACTGTCCTCTTTATAAATTATCTTCTTATATCAAAGAAATAATCAACAAAAGTGTTAGTAAGCATTTTAGTCACATCAAAAATAGCTATGAGTTGGTGCAGAAAATAAATGGTAAAAGTTTAAATGACAATTATAAAATTCTGTCCTTTGATATCGAAAATATGTACACAAACATTCCAGAAAAATTAATATTAACTAGTATTAGCAATAGATGGTCAGATATCTCAAAAAATACTAATATTCCTATAAATGAATTCATGAGTGCAATTTCCTTGATATTCAATTCAACATTTTTTAGATTTGATAACCTTTTTTATAAACAAGTTTTTGGATTGCCTATGGGCTCACCGCTCTCTCCAATCTTGGCTGATCTCGTAATACAAGATCTTGAGACAGACATTTTAAGTCGTTTAAAAATTCCTGTACCCATTTATTGCAGATATGTAGATGACATTTTGCTTGCCTTGCCTTTCGATAAAATTGAAACAGTTTTGGAACTCTTTAATAGTTATCACAATCGCATTAATTTTACTCTTGATAAAGGTTCGAATGATTCTGTAAGTTTTTTAGATGTCAAGGTCATGATTAAAGATGGTTGCATCAGATTTAATAATTACAAAAAAATGACTAATTCCGGTCGTTATCTAAATTTTGTATCATCTCATCCAGACCAACAAAAAAAGAGGTATTATAATAAGTTTGTTGGACCGAATAATTTTTTTGGCTCATCCTGATTACCAAGAAAAAAATATTATAGAACTTGTTGATGTTCTACTTAATAATGGTTATCCGTTGAATGTGATTTTTTCTACGATAAATAATAGAATTAAAATTTTAGCAAAAAGGAAGAATTTATATATTAATAATAAAATATTGGATGATGCTAATATGAATAATAAAAGTAATTATTTCATTGTACCATATATACGCAACATTTCAGAAAAGTTTTTTCATATTGCTCACAAAATGAATAAAAAAGTTGCGTTTAAAGCACATAATAATTTAAATTCTATTATCAAATTAGGTAAAGACAAATTAAAGACGAATGAACAGAAAGGGGTTGTTTATAAGATAAACTGTAGAGAATGTGACGTGTCGTATGTTGGTCAAACTAAAAGGAAGATCGGCACACGTATGGTTGAACATCAACAAGATATAAAAAATAAAAAATATGGCAGTTCCGTCTTAGCAGAACATCATATTAATAATGGTCACAATTTTAATTGGGATGATATAAAAATTATGGATAAAGAACAATATCTTTTCAAAAGACTAACATCAGAGATGATCTTTATCAAAAAACAAGAAAACGGTTTAAACAAGCAGATTGACACTCAAAAATTTCCAGAAGCATATGTTTCCTTGCTCGGCATTGTATGATATTGATTTGTTTTGAATTCATATAATGTTCGCTTTAGCCTTCGATATAAATACGTTGTGTCAGAATATACGAGACAGTTTCTCGCAGTTCGTCC